CGGACCACTTTTAGTGTGTCCCAGAGGTTTTGTCGTGTTGTATTGTCCTTTTTATTTAATTCCAGGAATACTTTTATTTCTTTCTTAATTTCTCTTTTGACCCATTCATCACTCAGGAGTGTGTTGTTTATCTCCATGTGTTCATGTGGTGATTAGGGATTCTTCTGGTGTTGATTTTAAGCTTTTTTGCATTGTGGTCTGATAGAATGCATGGGATTATTTCAGTCTTTCTGTATTTGTTGAGGTTTGTTTTATGCCCCAGTATATGGTCAGTTTTGGAGAAGGTTCCATGGGGTGCTGGGTAGAAAGTATGTCCTTTGGTGCTTGTGTGGAATACTCGGTAGGTGTTTGTTAAGTCCATTTGATATATTGTATTGTTTAATTCAGATGTCTCTCTGTTAACTCTTTGCCCTGTTGACCTATTTAATAGAGACAGTGGGGTATTGAAGTCACCTACTATTAATGAGTTGGGATTGATCTGGATCTTAAAGTTCTGTACTATTGTTTTTATGAAGTTGGGTGCACCAGAGTTTAGTGAATATATGTTCATGGTTGTAATATCTTCTTGATTTATTGTTGCTTTGAGCAGAATGATATGGCCCTCTTTATCACTTCTGATTAGTGTTAGTTTAAAGTCTATTTTGTCAGATATTAGAATTGCTACGCCTGCTTTTTTCTTAGTGTCATTTGCTTGGTATACTTTTTTTCTATCCTTTCGCTTTGAGATAGTGTCTGTCCTTGAAGGTGAGATGAGTTTCTTGCAGAAAACAAAAAGATGGGTTTTGTTTCTTAACCCATTCACCTAGTCTGTGTCTTTTGACTGGGAAGTTCAGTCTGTTAATATTTAAAGTTATTAATTAAAGATGAGTATTGAATCCTGTCATTTTTATTTCTGTTTACATTCTTGATATAGCTGTACTTTCCCACAGTTATACCTTCATTGGATTTCTTTCCGCAGTCCCTTGGTTATAGTCATTCCTTTCTTCAGCTCTTTGTATTGCTTCCATAACTCTCTGAAAGGCTGATTTTGTGGACATGAATTCTTTCAGCATATATATGTCATGGAAGAGTTTTCTTTCCTCTTCAACTATAATGTAGACAACTTTTCTGGGTAAAGTATTCTGGGTTGGCATCTATGATCAATTAGAACTTGAAGTACTTGACTCCAGTCTGTTCTCCCTTTCATAGTTTTCACTGAAAAGTCAGCTGTATTTTAATGGGTTTTCCTTTATATGTGATGTGTTTCTCTTTTGCAGCTTTCAGTATTGTCTCTGTTTTGTATGTTTATTGTTTTTACTATGATGTGCCATGGAGAGTTTCTTTTCTGGCCTCTCTGTTTGGTGTTCTTTATGCTTCTTGTATTTGTATGGGCATGTCTTTCTTTAATTTTGGGGCATTTTCTTCCACAATTCTGTTGAAGATCTGGTCCATGCCATTCTCTTTGGATTCTTCTCCTTCCTGTATGCCTATGATTCATAAGTTCAGTCTTTTTATGGTGTCACACAATTCCTGCATATTCCATTCTTAAATTTTTCTTAATCTTTGCTTGAGTGGTCTAGTTCATCCACTTTATCTTCCAGTCTTGATACTCTGTTTTCCATTTCATTCATCCTATTGGTGAGGCTTTCTCCTGTTGTTTCTAATTGGCTTACTGAGTGTTTCACTTCCTTTTTCATTTCGGCCTGAGTATTCTTCAATATTTCTAATTCTTATGAATGCATTCAGAAGTTTATTCCTATCTTCTTTCAGTTCTTTCATTTCTTTGTGTGTCTGTAAGTTCACAGAATTCTTTAAACATGTGTATAATTCTTCTTTTGAATTCCATGATCTGTGTTATATCCAGGGAATTCTCAATGTACTCCTCTACAGGATCACTGGTAGTTGGTAGGGGTATATCATTGGGTTTTTCATGTAATGTTTCTGCTGTGATTTTGACATGTGGATTTCTTTTGTAGTTTCTAATTCTTTTGTGAGACTCAGCGCTTCAAGTTTAGGTCTGCTTCTTTTTTGTGAACTTTATGTGTCTTTGTGGTTTACTTTTTGGGCATGAGAAGCTGGTTCCTCTAAGCTTCTGGTTCTCCCTCAGGAATTTGGGGATTGGACTGGCCTGGGAGCCTGGCCCAGGAAAGATGCTGGTGTAGTGCAGCTGGTGGCCGTGCCACCCAGAGATGCAAAGGCAGATGGAGCAGGAAGAGGCCCCAAGGACTCCTGGGGACTGCACTGAGGAGCTGGGTTGATCCCAGAGAGAGGCCTGCGGGTAGGAGAGAGGACCCTCAATTTTTTTTAGGGCAAGTACTTTTTTTACTTTTTGCAGCCTTTTATTTTATTTTTATTTTTTTTTAATTTTATGTATATGAGTGTACTGCCAGTATGTATGTAAGTGCATATGCATTGTGCAGTGCCCATGGTGGTCAGAAGAGGGTTGTTGGATCCCCAGAACTGGAGTTATGGACAGTTAGTTGTTAGCTGCTAGAAATTGAATCTGGGCCTTCTGCAAGAACAGCCAGTGCTCTTAAATCCTGAGCCCTCTCTCCAGCCCCTCTGTGACTAATTCATGCTTCCTCCCTCCCTCCTTCTCTCTCTCCCTCCCTGCCTCCTTCCTTCCTTCCTTCCTTCCTTCCTTCCTTCCTTCCTGCCTTCCTTCCATCCTTCCATCCTTCCTTCCTCCCTTCTCCTTCCCCCCCTCGCTCCCCCCCTTCTACCCTCCCTTCCTTCTTCTCTCCCTTCAAAAAAAAACCTCCCTTTCCTTTCCTTTCCTTTTTGGTTTTTTTTTTTTTGCAATTTGGGAAACCAGCTGGTTTATTTGGGCTTACAGAGCAGTGGATGAGTGGGTTACTTACAGAAGTGTGTTGGCAGGGTGGGTTCCCCTCTGCATCACAGCAAGGACCCTGTGACCTGATGGCTGCCCAAGATGCCAAAGGACACCCCCTCTCACTGGCTTCACCTGTTTCTATACTTAGTCCCTCCCTCATGTACAACTCAAGCCAGCTGGTTGGATAGAAGATGACTGACTCTCTCTGCCCCTTCCCTCCTGCAGAGCATCCACAGTCAAGTTCGTTTATGGTAATCAGAACAAGCAGGTGAATCCAAACCTGGGAAGAAGGGTTCTGTCCACAGCTTGCCAGTCTAGCTTGTCAGGTGGGGGACAAGTCCATGCAACAGCATGTTTAGCTAGTAATTGCCCTCTTAAGATTGCTGTCATGAGCCAGGCTTGGTGGTGCATGCCTTTAATCCCAACACTCAGGAGGCAGAGTCAGGTAGATCTCTGTAAGATTGAGACCAGCCTGGTCTACATAGCAAGTTTCAGGCCAACTGTGACTGAAAGAAGACCCTGTCAAAAAAAAGATCATGGTTGCTTTCAATGTATCCAACAGATTTTTAGCATGTTGTGGTTTCATTTTTGTTTAGTTCTAGGAATTTTTAAAACCTTTATTTCTTCAGTGGAATTATTTCAATTTCTTTTTTTTTTTTTTTTTTTTTAGGAATTTTTAAAACTTTTTTTTTTTCGGGGGAATTTTTTTAATTTTTTTTTTTTTTTTTTTTTTTTTTAATTTGTTGAGGTTTGTTTTGTGTTCCAGTATGTGGTCAATTTTAGAGAAACTTCCATGGGCTGCTGAGTGGAAAATGTATTCCTTGGTGTTTGGGTGGAATATTCAGTAGATATCTGTTGGATCCATTTGATGTATGATATCATTTAATTCAGATGTCTCTGGATTTATTCTTTGTCCTGTTGACCTGTCTGTTGAAGACAGTGGGGTATTGAAATCATCTACTATTACTGAGTTGGGGTTAATCTGTGTCTTAAAGTCTTCTTTTTATGAAATTGGGTGCACCAGAGTTTTGTTCATATATGTTCATGACTGTTCATATATGTTCTTCTTGGTCATTTGTTTCTTTGATCAGTAATGTGTTATTCAATCTCTATGAGTTTGTGTATGTTTTGTCATTTTTTAAATGTTCATTTCTAGTTTAATTCCAGTGTGAAATCCAAGAAATTATTTCAACTTTCCTGTGTTTGTTAAAATTTTCTTTGTGTGTGTCTGTAACTAATTTTGAGAGACGATTACTATTGCTTTTTTTTTGAGCTGGACATGGTGCACACCTTTAATCTCAGCACTTGAGAGGGAGAGGCATGTGGATCTCTGTGAGTTCAAGGCCAGCCTGGTCTACATAGTGTGTTCCAGGGCTACATAATGACCCTGTCTCAAAAAAAAAAAAAAGAAAAGAAAGAAAGAAAAAAAAGATGACAAGGTCTCATGTAGCCCAGGCTGGCTTCAAACTCACTATGTAGCAAAGACTGGCTGATTATAGGCATAAACCACCAGGCCTAGCTTTTGTTCTTCCTGTTTAATTGAGACAGGCTTACTATGTAGGTCCAGACTGGTCTCAAACTCAGAATAATCCTCCTGTTTCTTCCTCATGAACACTAGAATTTTATAGGTGTACACTATATGTTGGGTTTAAGAGATTATTCTTAACTGAGTTAATGGGAAAATTAAGATACAGATAAATTTGTATTTGCCAATTTGACTTCCCTGCTCCTATAAAGTATATGTATAATAACATAAAGCCATTGGTTAATCACAACTGATTCCAAGTATTACTGAGTTCCTTCTTACTCAAAGTGTGAATCAAGGACTGCAGCCTTGACAGCACCCAGCATCCTGTTACAAATTCAGGCTCTCAGTTACCCCCTCCCCCGAACGGAGCCGAGTCCACATTTGAACAGGATCTCCAGTTATTCATATCCACATTAATGTTAGAGAAGCACTAATTGGTAGATTATAACTTTCAGTTTCTGATGCTTCTGAGTTATGAAAGTGAGTACAGATATGTTACTGAGGTAGTTTATTCCATGTATAAGTCAGCTTCCTTTAGCATACATCATGTATGACGTGATCCTATTTGATTTTTTTATGTTTTCTGTGAATCTGTGTACTTTTCTTTCTTTAGGTCGCCATTTCCCCAAACGTCCAAAGCATATGCTTATAGTAGAAGCAAAGTTTGATGGAGAACAGCTGGCTACTGATCCCGTCGACCATACTGACCAGCCAGAATTTGCTACTGAGTTAGCCTGGGAAATTGAAAGGAAAGTACTTCATCAACACAGGTGATACTACCTTCTGTTTATATTAGCATCTTTATTGGTCCATTTTTTAAGCTTAAATTTTGTCACTTATTTGGTTATGGTAATATATTGTCAAATGGTTATGTTGTTTGTTTTGTTTTCTTGCCTTTTGAGAGAGGGTCTTAGTTTCATTTCTTGACACTGTGGTTAAAACATCTTGACAAAAGCAACTTATAGGAGAAAGGATTTATTTAGGTCCCAGTTCCACATCGCCGTCTATCATTGCATGAAGTCCAGGCAGCAGGAGCTTGAAGCTGCTGGTCATATCACATCCACAGTCCAGAGCAGAGACCAAGAGACCAAAATTAATGCATGCTGTGCTCAGGGTTCTCGTTCTCTCTCTCTCTCTCTCTCTCTCTCTCTCTCTCTCTCTCTCTCTCTCTCTCATACAGTTCAGGATACACTGCCACCCACAGTGGGTGGGTCGTCCCACTTCAGTTATTGTAATCAAGATAATCCCCCACAAACACACCCACAGGCCAACCTGATCCAGACAATGTCTCATTGAGACTTTCTTCCCAGGTGACTATAAATTGTATCTGGCTGACAAAACTAACTACTACAGGATATCACTCTATAGCTCAGGCTGGCCTAGAACTCACTACATACCCTGGATTAGCCCCTAACTTTTGGCAGTTCTTCTGCCGCACTCTCCCAAGTGCTGGGATTACATGAACCACCATGACTAGTTATTGAGTACTTTTAATGTGCCAGGAAATTTTCATAGTGTTTTGCAACAATAGCTCATTTCAACATTCGAGCAACATTGTAAAGTTATATTTCTCCATATTACAGCTGAGGAAACTGAGTCCTGGAAGGCTAAGTAAAATAAGTAAAGCTGTTGGCTGGATAAAGGTACAGTCCTCCAGGCTGAGATGAAGGTTTTACCCACTGGTGTTTTGTTTGCTTTTTGTTTGTTTTTTTTTAAGATGGGTTCTCTTTCTGTAGCCCAGGCTAGTCTGAAACTTCTTGTACCCTAGCTGGTATCCAACTAGTTGGTAATCCTCCTGCCTCAATCTCCTAAATGCTGGGATTACAACCAGGAATGATGTCTGGCATTAATCACTACATTAACTATAGTCTCTTTTTTTCTTGGTGATGCAGGAAGGTTGGTGTATGGACAATAAATAGTCTAAAAGTACTTTGATGATGTCTTGGACTGCCCTGCCAAGAATTTATTCAAGCATCCAGTGAAAGTAAAATCTATAAAGGATCCTTTGAAATTAATTTTTTGTTGATTTTAGGCAAATACAGTGGTATATAAAATGGAATTAGACTATTTAGCATATTATGTTTTCATGAACTCTATGACTAGAGAAGTCAAGAACAGAAATACCTTGGGACATGCCAAGAATCAGGGCTTGGTTCCCAGTACCCACATGGCAGGTCTCAACCATCTGTAACTCCGGTTTTCCAAGATCCAACATTCATTTCTGGCCTCTGTGGGTGCCAGGCACACATGTGGTATACATACATACATGCAGGCAAAAATAATCATACATAAAATAAAAATAAATCTTAAAAAAAAGACTAGCAGTACTTTTATTACCTAAGGCTGGGAATGCCACTGCATGCTTGTAATCCTAGCACTCTAGATGTGGAGGCAAGTAGTCAGTTCAGTGCTAGCCTGGGCTGCATAAGACTCTGTCTCAAACAGACAAACACTAACTACTGCCAAAAATCCACATAACCAGTACATCAGTACTAAGTCAAATCAAAACATAAAGTTAACACAATGCAAGAATAAATTTTGTTGCTTTTATTGCTGGATTGGTCAATGGATTTATTTAAGGGGATATTAAATGCTTCGAGAACATTAAGTTTTGTCTTTTCACTAGCATTTGGAATATCTGCTTAGACTGAATTCTGTGATGAATTCAGTTGTGTTAATACCAAGTGGTACACAACTTTATTTAGGCTAAGAATTTGTAAGTAGTGATTTTATGAGAAGTGCAGTTAAATAGTAATCCTGCTAGTGAAAGTGATGATAGAATCTGTTCAGCTCAGTGCGTGCTATCCCAGCCACTGTTCTGTGACAGAACGTTGTTAGGTGTTACATTATTAACTTTTTTTTTTGTTCTTTTTGAGACAGGTTCTGCTTGTAGCCCCAGCTGTCCTAAAACTCCCTGTGTAGATCAGGCTGGTCTTGAATTCAAGAGATCCCCCTGTCTCTGGGTGCTGGGATCAAAGGCGTGTGCTACCATGCCTGGCCTATATTATTACATTTTAATAGTTGCTTTTATGGTATTTAACTCAAGTTTACTTTTTAAGCTATGCAGAAAGCTGTAAGCATGTGTGTGTGTGTGTGTGTGTGTGTGTGTGTGTGTGTGTGTGTTGTTTTATATGTGAGAATACTGTATAAGAAAGATGATTTAAAATCATTCTGGAGCCTGGCATGGTGGTGCATGCCTTTAATCCCAGTGCTTGGGAGGAAGAGGTATAGGCAGGTCTCTCTGAGTTTGAAGCCAGCCTGGTCTACATAGGGAGTTTCAGGCCAGCTGAGGCTACAGGGAGACCCTGTGTTAACATAACAACAACAAAAAATCATTCATGAAATTCATGATAATTTCTGACTTTCAGAGGACTGAGAATATTACAGATGCTTAGAAATAATTGACCTATGGAATAGGCTTTTGTGAGACTAATTTGACATGTTTTTAATTCTAGTTGGTATGCAGATTAGTACATGTAAATAATAGTTCTTTCCAATTGAAGAATTATTCAGAAAATATATATAGTTGCCCTCACAGACTTGTAATCTGGACAATAAAAGTTTTTCAAGGCTAGTAGAAAGCTTAATATTAAGAAAAAAGGCACATTTTACATATCACATGAATTGTTATACAGGTTACAGCGTACTCCTATCAAACTCCAGTGCTTTGCGGTGGATCCTCAGTCTTCAGCCAAGGAAACTATAGGTTACATTGTTCTGGACTTAAGAACTGCTCAAGAAACAAAGCAGGTATTGGCCTTGTACTGTTTTGTTAATTATTGTGATAGTTAATTATTTTCAGTAAATAGCAGATGAAGCAAACAAAATTCTGGGCTTGTTGCAGATCATGGTCTTGAGGTTTTTAAGTTGTAATGCTTGAGTTTATGAGTTAGATTTAGAAAACCCAACCTTCAAAGCATTTTTTTGAGCTGTCTTTCTCAAAGGAACTTGCCTGTGAGCTCACACCTGTGGTAGTGACTGTTCCCTGCAGCCTAACTCCTGAGCTTTTCGTTTAGAGGTTTCCCTTTCTGCGTCCTTGCTCCAGTGAATGAACATTCATCACTTGCCTTCTAGTTTCCCGTGTTAGAAACACAGAAATCTTCCTTGACATTCTTTTCTTCCCTCATAGTTGTCCAGTCCAGATTTTTTCCCTTTCTATCGTGCATTTTCTGCATTTTCGCTCCTGCTAGTCCAACCCGAGCCTCATCGTTTCTTACCTTGACAGGCATCGTAGCTTGCTAGTGGCTTTTCCTGCTTCCTAGTTCAGTGCCCTTGTGAGTGATTCTACTCTGTTGTTCATCTTAGTGTTGTAAATCCCAGACTCTGAGGATGTTCTGCTTGCCCTTACCTTTTTCATGAAACTTGAGACTTCCCAGTGCTTGGGAGGCTGAGGCAGAAGGATTACAAGTTTGAGGCTGTCTTAACCCCTTTCCTTTCTCTAAAGCAGTCCCCAAAACGTGACACGAGTTTGGGCCAAGCCAAAACAAATCATCTTCCTCTTCCTCCTCCTCCCTTTCCTTCCTTCCTTCCTTTCTTCCTGCCTGCCTTCCTTCCTTCCTTCCTTCCTTCCTTCCTCTTCCTTCCTCTTCCTTCCTTCCTTCCTTCCTTCCTTCCTTCCTTCCTTCCTCCCTCCCTCCCTCCCTCCCTCCCTCCTCCCTCCTCCCTCCTCCCTCCTTCCTCACCAACAAATGAATGAAAACCAAGAGTGTTCAATTGATGTGGCTTTTTTTCTAGTTCTGAGGATAGAACTTAGGACCTCATTCATATTAGGCAAGCATTCTACTGAGTTATATCCTTAACTATTTCTTTACTTTTTATTTTCAGAGAGGATTACACTAAGTTTCGACTGACATTAAACTTCTGTAGCTAGGCAGGACTTGAACTTTTAGACTTGTCTTAAGTTTTCCATTTTGTTGATCATGTCTCTTTAAGGCTGGTGTGAATCTTGTATCTCATTATTATTATTATAGTCATACTATTGAGCTTTAAAAAATGTCTGAAAATTTTCATAGTACTTTGCAACAATAACCAATTTAAAGACAGACATAGTGGCATATGGCTATAATCTTAGGTGTCTAAGGCCAGCCTGGACATTAATTTAAACATCAGGGCAACCCTTTTGTATTAATATTATTTTCTGAATATTATAGACGAAGAGATTAAATCCTTAGAAGTTTGTAGCTTCTCCTGATTCAGAGTATGGGCACTTAGTCAGATAAACTTCATGCTAAACAAGCAGTACTACCACTCCTGAAGGCAGATAACTCTGGTTCTGATTCCTGTTTAGTGCCTTTTATTGTTGAACACACTTCTCATTTCTTCTGAAGTGTCTCCCAACTTTTTACATGTGGTTGACGTTAGAAATCTTCCCTTCAATTTTTCTTAATATCTTTTCTGAGACAGGGTCTGTCACATTGGCCTAGATCTCACTGTATAGAACAGGCTGGCTCACGCTTGTAGCAGTCCTTCTGCCTCTGCCTTCAAAGAGCTGGGATTACATGTGCATGCTACCATGCCTGGCATTGATGTTTTTTATTTGGTCACAGTTATTTTTATCTTTTTTCAGGTAGGGTGTCTTGTAGCTCAGGCCGGACTTGAACTCACTGTGTAGCTAAGACTGACCTTGAACTCCTAATCCTCCTGCCTCTACTTCCCAAAGTGCTGAGATTATAGGCATACACCTCTATATGCCCAGCTACCATTTATTTCTTAAGATAAAGTTAAAAAAATTAAAGTTAGTATCTTCTCAGTCTCCATTGTTTTTCCCCTTTCCATTCTTTCTTTTTTTAAAAAATTATTATTATTATGGGTATGAGTGTATTGCCTACCTGGATGTAAGTACACCCGTGTTGTGCAGTGCCTGTGGAGGTTAGAAGAGGGCATCAGATACCCTGGTATTGGAGTTACAGACAATTGTTAGCCACCATGTTGATGCTGGGATTTGAACCCAGGTCCTCTGCAAGAGCAGTCAGTACTCTTAACCACTGAGCCATCTTTCCAGCCCCCATTCTTTCTTTTTTTGTTGTTTTTAAATTATTCATGTGTGTCTGTTAATGTGAGTGCCTATGTACACGTGTGTGTGCACAGATGCATGTGCCTGTGTATGCTCTGGGGTCAGAAGATGGCATTGGATCCCTCAGAGCTATAGTTTCAGGTGTTTGTAGGATGCCTGGCTTGCTAGGTATGTGCTCTGAACTCATGGTCCTCATGATTGTTCAGTAAGAGCTCTTAACTGCTGGGCCAGTTCTTCAGCCCCTTTCCTTTCACTCTAAATTTGAAACTCCCCTCCTCTCCATGTTTTTTTTTTTTTTTTTTTTTTTTTTTTTTTTTTTTATGTATATGAGTGTATTGCCTGCATGTGTGTTCTCAGTACTAAATGTAACTCAGGCTGGCCTGAAACTCTTGGGTTTTTTTTTGTTTTTTTTTTTCAAAGTTACGAGAATTTATTTTGGTGGATTATTTGGTGCCAGATAAGGTGTGTATTCTGAATAAATCTTTCCTCACATTCAAGGCATTTGTAAGTTTTTTCTCCAGTGTGAGTTCTCTGGTGTTTAATGAGAGTTGCACTCTGACTGAAGCTTTTCCCACAGACTAAACACCCATAGGGCTTCTCCACAGTGTGAATTATCTGATACTTAAAGAGGTCTGAGCGCTATTTGAAGCTCTTCTCACAGTCCTCACATTTATAGGGTCTCTCCCCTCTGTGTAGTCTCTGATGTCTAAAAAGGATAGAAATGTGACAAATCTCCCCACATTCCTCACATTTATAGACTTTCTCACTGGCATGGGTTCTGTGATGCTGACTTAGATGTGAGCTCTGTCTGAAGCATTCCCTACACTCTGAGCATGCATATGGCTTCTCACCTGTGTGTGTCTGCTAGTGTTTAACCAGGGTGGCACTCTGACTGAAGCTTTTCCCACATTCATGGTTAGGATAGGGTTTCTCGCCTGCGTGGATCCTGTGGTGTTTAAAGATGTCTGAACACTGTTTGAAGCTCTTCCCACAACTATCACACCAATAAGGTTTGTCTTCATGGAACCACCTCTATGTGTTAGAAAGGGCCAAACTACTGTCAACGGAGTTTTAGGGTTTCACTGTGTGACATTCCTCGTGTAAACCTTGTTTGCATTTGTTCCATGTGCACCGTCATCAATGGGCTTCTTTGCTGTCAGGATATGCTGGGTCAACGCTGGTGTTGTTCTCAAATTCATTAATTTTAGAAACTCTCCCTTCCTTGGAAACTGGTGAGATGTGACCCTCTGGGAAGTCCTTGTTCTTCAAGAGAATGTTTGAGTTTTGGTGACACATTGTTTCTGGGTAGCTTTTCTGCTCTGTCCTCATGGGTTCCACCACACTCAGTAAACAGTTGGCCTTTCCCCTGGGACACTTGTAGCCATGTCTGTGGCTCTGCCTCATTTAAAATCTCTTGCTTTGGAATCAAGTCTGTATTCACAGCTTTAGTTTCCAAACCAGGCACAACTATGCTCCCATAATCCTTCAGGGTCTCCCTGTAGAAATCCTGATCTGCATCCAGTTGCTCTCACTCCTCCCAGGTCAGAGATTCAGCCACATCCCCTGAAAGTCACCAAACCTTCCAGGTGAATCTTCCTCCACTTTTACTGACATAAGTCCCTCAGAGAGAGATGACCCAGAGACTCTGGCACCCAGTTATCAGAGTCCTCAGTCTGTCAAGCTTGAACTCATCTTTCTCCACATGAACTAATCTTCAGGACTGATTTTGGGAAGAGCGCAAAGCTAAGAAACTCACCTACCTTCCCCAAAATGGGCCACACAGGCACCCCTAAACTCCCAGTCCCACAGGACACTGCACATGTGCATATGAATGTCCCTCCTAGTTCCCATTTCCTGCCTCGGCCTCCCAAGTGGCAGGACTGTGCCACCAACCCAGGCCTTAATTTGAATCTTCAATTAGGATTCTGTGAAGAGAAATTAAGCCATGACTAATGCTTTTGCTGCAGTGACATTTGCAGATGAGCCATCAGCCCAGCCCAAATTCAGAATCTTTGGAAAAAGGAACTGAAACGCCAGGTGGTGGTGTGTGCCTTTAATCCCAGGCAGAGGCAGGTGGATCTCTGCAAGATTGAGGCCACCTTAGTTCACATTGTGACTTCCAGGTAGGCTGTGACTAGGGAGACCCTGTCAAAAAAAAAAAAAAAAAAAAAGCAAAGAAAAGAACACTTAAAAGAAAGCTGTATTGGCTACATGGTGAGCTTGAGACCAGACAAGACCCTGTCTCAAAAAACGTAACAAGCAAAATGCTTTAGAAGAGGACTTATCCCCCCCGCCCCCCCTCCTACAGCCTTCGGGTATTTGTTACTCTGCTGCTATGGTGAAGATTTTCCTTAGTTCCATCCCTGAATCAAGGGCCCTGACTGAGCCCTGACATCTCCTTTACCCAGGGCCAGCTTTCCCTAGAATACTTCCTCAGTCAGCTTGACTGTAGAGAAGGGAAGGCCTCCCAGGAGGAGATAGTGCATTAGGCATCCCTTTATCAGCGTGTTTGTGATTAAAATGAAGGGACAGTTCATAATCCCCTCAGTTTCAGAGGCTGGATGCCGTCTTGCTTGTTTCCTGTTTGGCAGAGGAACATTGAGGTTTGCTAGTGAAGTAGCTGAAGTCAGAGTCAAAGATTCTTTATAAATATAGATAGAAAAATACGCATTCCTTTTTCTGAATTCTGTAACAAAAATCCATAAATTCTGTAAGTTAATCCATTTTAGGCTTATATTTGAAATCAGAAAATATCTGTCATAAGAACTATAGTAATAAATTATGTTATATTTTGCCATGAATTATTGCATGTTTTTTTTCTTTAAAGGCTAGGTTTCAGATTTGCTTTTTTTCCTAAAACTTAAGGTCTTTGTGGGTCCCATTTAACTTAATAGATGTTATACAAATATAAAACAGCACTTTTTGCCTTTATATAACAATGGTCGGGGTAAGAATGAGCCTTTCAGGTGTGACATGGCTCCTGCTGACTGTGGTTCCTGCACCTGCAGTGCACACTGGCCTGGTCTGGGATGTGTTTTCTGACTGGTCTGGGCACTAGGATTTCTGAGGCTGCTGTAGTGAGGATGTTTGGGTAGTTGAGAATACTGTGTTCACTGAGAGAGCCTTTGTTTTCAACATCTGCCAGGTAAATGGTTCATAACCCAGAACACATTCATTGGACTTTTGGGCTAGCATTTTGTGCTATTTGTTAGCAGCAAGATTTTCCTTTTCTTAATATAAGCAGGACAGAGCAAAAATATGGCAGGAAGAAAAAGTATAGTGGAGCTATTAGTACTTGGAGTCAAGGAAACAGGCAATTAGATCCTTACTGAAGGATGCTGTGGGATGGGAGACAGAAAGCTACAAATAGAAATATGTCGTTTTCTTTCCTTTGACATTTTACATTGTAAAGAATTGGGATAGGAGCAAAGAAGATACTGTAAACCTCAGTAAGTTTTTCAGAGGAAAATAGCTGATGGCTTCTTAATCAGGATTAATTTCTTTTGAAGAAAATGTAAAAAAGAACATTTTTAGAAATTTTTTTTTTAATTTTATGAGTGTATTACCTGCATTTGGGTAAGTGTACCCATGTGCACCTTCTGCGAAGGTCAGAAGAAGGCTTCAGATCCCCTGGAACTGGAGTTATGAATGGTTGTTAGCTGCCATGTGGGTGATGGAAATCAAACCTGGATCCTCTGTAAGAGCAGTCAGTGCTCCTAACCCCAGAGCCATCTTTCCAGCCCCAGAGAAGAACATTTTTAAAGGTTAAAAAGTACTGAAAAAGCTATAGGAAAAAAAATATAAAATCTTAAAGAACATTTTGAGTCATGTTTTCTGTTTTGTCATCTAGGCCCCCAAGTGGTACCAGTTGCTGAGTAACAAATACACCAAGTTCAAGTCTGAGATCCAGATAAGTATCACTTTGGAAACAGATACGAAGGCACAGGTGGATAGTTTTAAAGCAAAAGGAGCCCCGCCTCGAGATGGGAAAGGTGTGTGTTGTGCTTGCTCGCTTTTTTTTTTTTGAGCTAGAGCTTCAAGTGGACCAGGCTGCTCTGGAGCTTGCTTTGTAGTGTTAACACATGTAACACTTGCAACACCTGCTGCTTTTAGATTTTGTTTACAAATCTTAGAACTACTGAAAGTTTTTGTTGTCCTAACTTGATATAAGGTAGGACAGGAAATTTTGTGTTTTAAAATATTATTACCCAGAGAAATTGTGTCCAACGAATGTAGAGAAGCTCCCAAGTTTAGTGTTTGTTATTTGACTATAGTTTAACAAAGCCTTAATTTTTCTCTTTTTAATTAATAAACTTTATTATTTTATAAGACTTTTTAATTCTGAGTATGTGTGTTTGGCTGTGTGTGGGTATATGCATGTGAGTGTAGGTGCTCATGGAGGCCAGAGGCATCAGATCCCCCAGGATTTGGAGTTATAGACAATTGTGAGCTGCTGGACATAGGTGCTGGGAATCGAACTCTGGTCCTCTGCAAGAGCAGCACATCCCTTAACCTTTGAACCATCTCTAGCACCTACTTAATTTTCTTTAGAGCAGTTTTAGCTTCATAGCAAAATAGGATATTACAAAGTATTCTCATATACACTCTGTACCAGGTGCAACCCCAGCCACTATCAATGTCTTAACGCCCTGACATTGTTGTAATTGATGAAACAGCATTGATGAATTAAAATCATCAGAAGCCCACAGTTTGCATTAGCATTCACTCTCAGTCCTGTCCATTCTTTGGGTTTTGATTGATGGATGATGACATATATCCCCCAGGTAGTATCATCCAGAGCAGTTTCACTGTCCAGGTATCTTTTGTGCTCTGCTCTTCAACCTTCCCTCCCTCTATGTCCTGGTAGTAGTTTTGGTACATCCAGAGAGTTCATGTGTTGGGAACTTCACCTCCAAAGTCCTAATGGAGTTTGGAGTTGGGATCTTTGGGAACTGATTGGGCCACAGAGCTCTGCTTTTTCTCAATAGACTAATCCTGCTCTTGGATTAATGGATTCTTGTGTTATCACGGGGGTAGGTTAGTTATCATTAGAGTGGAGCTGTCTTCTATCTAGTCTCAAGTATTCTGTTACACTAACAGAAAATGTACTAAGATGACTATTGATCTTCTATTATGGAGATGTAAATTTTCATAAACAGTGATACATTCCTCACCAATAGTTTATGCCAGTGTATAGCCATCAAGAGCACCCATTTTCCTGTGCTTTCTCCAACACTGGATGTTATGTTAGTGGTATGTATGCATCCTTTTTTTTTTTTTTTTTTAATCTTTAATCAGTTTATGAAACTCTTACCCCTGTCTGGTCCTTTCATATTGGTGCCTATTTGATTGTGTTGGTCTCTTCTCCAAGATGTTTTTCCATTACTCTAAACAATCAAAACAAAACAAAAAAACCACAAAAATCTCCCAAGTTCCAACACAGCATCCAAAAAACCCTGGATTATAAGGCTTTCACCTCTCTCTAGTCAGTCCTGGCCCAGTAGTCTAGCATGCTACATCTGTCTCAGTTCTTTGTTTTTGTTTTTGTTTTTTCAGAGATCTCCCTGCCTCTGCCTCCTTAGTGCTGAGATTAAAGGCATACACCACCATGCCCAGCACTGTTTTATACTTTTTTTGTTTGTTTTGAAACAGGGTCTCACTAAGTTGGCCAAGGCTGACCTTGAACTAGCTCTGTAGTTCAGGTAGGCTGTGGACCTACACTCCTGCCTCTACGTCCCAAAGATCTGGGCTTATAGCCTGCACCACCAGGCCTGTTTCCTACTTCATTTCTTTCTCTTGCTCCTGTGTCTGCTGCACACTGTCCTTTGTCTGGAACAGGCTTTGCATTCCCTGTCTCTGTTCAGTCACCTTTTCTCTCCCAGCCACATCTAGGTACTCTTCGCTCCAAAGTTCATAGATTCACTGAGAAAACTGTTAGATTCCTTTTCTGTGTGGATTATTAAATGACTTTAAAAATACTTTCTTATTTCAGAATATGGTTTTTATGAACAGAAAAATAAAGTTAAAAGTTTCTTTGACGAGTAAGAAACTGAAACCTTTTGAGATACTAACTGTATCCATGAATGGCCCACCTAATTAAAAAATAAAATGAACTTTAAAAGGCTTATAATGGGCCAGACATGGTGATACATGCCTGTAATTCCAGCACTCAAGAAGTTGAGACAGGTTGACTGTGAATTCAAGGCCAGCCTAGGTTACATAATAAGTGTCAGGCCAGCCTGGGTTACATAGTAAATTCTAGGCCAATCTGGGCTATATTCCAAGATCATATCTTAAAAAATAAAATAAAGGGCTGGGTGTGCTGGCACTCACCTTTAATTCCAGCACTTGAGAAGCAGAGGCAGGCAATTTCTGGAATATCAAGGCCAGCTGGTCTGCATAGTGAATTCCAGGCCAGCTAAGGCTACAGGGAGATCCCATATCAATCAATCAATCAATAAATCAATAAATAAGTAAATAATAAATAAATAAATAAAACTTAACAATAGTTGATGACAGAGTAGTCTATTCTAATTGATTTTCTCTGCGAAGTCCCTGCTGGCTTATCTGGAGTTGACCCAAAGGACATTGTTGCAGTACTGAATGAGGAGGGAGGCTACCATCAGATCGGACCAGCAGAGTATTGTACTGACTCTTTCATTTTGTCAGTGACCATAGCATTTGCTACCCAGTTGGAACAGGTAAGGCATTTCCTAAGGTTAGTGATTTCAATTTATTTATTTATTTATTTTAAATATTTTATTATTTTTATTTTATGTGTATGCCTGTATTGCCTGCATGTAGATAAGTGCACCCGTGCCCTGCAATGCCTGTGGAGGACAGAAGAGGCTGTCAGAGCCCCTGGAACTGGAGTTACAGACAGTTGTTAGCTGCCATGTGGGTGCTGGGATTCAAACCCAGGTTTTCTGCAAGAACAACCAGTGTTCTTAACCACTGAGCCATTTCTCCAGCCCCTCATTTTATTTTTTAAATCCTACATTTTACATATTAAAAACCCTGCAAGTAAACTATGTAAAAGTGAGTTAAAAAATATATTCATGGGGCTGGAGAGATGGCTCAGCATTTAAGAGCACTGGCTGCTTAAATAAAATAATAATAATAAAAAACATATTTATGTTGCAAGGCATTTCTGCCTTTAGACCAGAATAGATTTCAATATATTGGTAATAGAATAAACTGATTTTCAGAATTTAGGAGATTGATCCCCAGTAAACTGTCCTTGTACTGTGTTTTAAGGACTTTTATGTTTTCCTTTTGAATAATATACTTTTTGAAGAAATTAGCAATGCCAGGACTATTTGGATCTGGGATTGTATTTTTACCTTACTTATAAGCTAACAGAAACCAGCCTGTGGTTGTGGATGTTATCAGAAGATAAAATGTCCTTGTGTCAGAATCGAAGGATTCTCTTACACTCAACACAGTGAACAACGTAAGTACTGGTATATTTTCTTCAGTTTCCTTCCCTCAGGTCTCATGGAAACTGCACAGAAGGGCACATGGGATTTTTATAACTAAGGGAGGTGAATCTGGAGAATGCACCACCTTTTTTGTAAGCAGCCAACAGTCCTGGTTTTTGTACAAGGAGCAGCTATACAAACAACTCTCAGAAGTGGCCTGGGTCCAGGAGCGGTCAGGACCTATAGTTTTAGCATACCCTGCAAAAATGTGTAAGGATGCTTACGGTAGATGCTGCTTCCACAGTGAATCAGCACAGACTTCCCAGTTCTTTTGTACTTGGGTTCAAGTCCTTTTCTTGGCTTTGTGTTGGTCTGTAGCAGCTGGAATTGATTTATTTTTTAAATATTTTTATTATTTTTATTTTATGTGTATGATTGTATTGCCTGCATGTGTATAAGTGCACCCATGTTATACAGTGCCCACAGCAGTCAGAAGAGGGTGTCGGATCCCCTGGAACTGGAGCTATGTACAGTTGTTAGTGGCCATGTAGGTTCTGGGACCTGAACCTGGGTCCTCTGCAAGAGCAGCCAGTGCTCTTAAATGCTGAGCCATCTCTCCAGCCCCAAGGAATGGATTTTTTTTTTTTTTTTTTTGTCTTTTTTGAGACAGGGTCTCCCTGTAGCCCCAGCTGGCCTGGAACTCACTGTGTAGACCGGGCTAGCCTTGAACTCACAGAGATCCCCTGCCTCTGCCTCCTGAGTGCTGGGATTAAAGGCATGCGCCACCATGCCCGGCATGGAATGGATATTTTTTAAAGTAGAGATGATCCAGCAGTTAAGAGCACTGCTGCTCTTGCGGAGGACCTGGGTTCGGTTCCCAGCACTCACATCATGGTTAACGGCTATCTATAACTCCAGTTCTAGGGAATCTGGCATGCTCCTTTACCTTGTGTGAGCACCAGGCATGCACATGGTGCACATGCATACATGGCAGGTAGAACACTCATAAAATAAAAATAAATCACTTAAAAAACTAGAGAATATGACTTCTGATCAATCTATATACCTTAGGAAGATTTTGTAGCTAATGAGTAGCTAGATTATTTCTGATCATATAGTTACTTTCCACACTGTTGTTCCCATATTATGATCTGTTTTCTGTTATACACAAGTTTGAGTTGGAATCTCATTCTCAGTGTTTACAAGCTCCTTTACTTGGGCAAGCCACTTACCTTTGTGAGGCTTGACTTGTGATATTATCATCTTTACAGATATGGGTGAAGACTGAGGTCATATGAATAAAGTATTTACCTTAGTTTATGTGAGAGAAGCTAGATTTGTATGACAGAAACTTGGACAAAACTGACCTATGCAGTCAGTAACCTGTATTTCCAGTAGTTTGTTGGTGGGAACTATCCAGGTGTCCATCAGTAGATTAACAGATAAACTCAGTGTAGTATCCACACAATGGGCTGTTCTCAGTAAAAAGGAATGAAGTACTGATGCGAGCTACAATATGGATGAATACTAAAAATGCGCTGTGTAAAGTGAATGAAGCCACATACAAAAAAGCACGCATATTGTTAGGATTCCATTTGTATGAAATGCTCAGAATAGGCAAACAGTTCAGAGACGAAGCAGATGCGTGGTTTTTCTGCAGCTGGGAATAAGAAAAAGGGTGTTTATGACTGCTTAATGACTACATTGTTTCTATTTGGGGAGAAACTAGGACACTTAGTTTTTTCTTCTCCACTACCTAATCTAAGGCAGTATGAATAAGTATCCTGCAGTAAACAGGCATCCGTTTTCAGAGCCAAGCAGCAGCTTTGAAGGTTACTACAAAGCTGTGTGCAGCAGAGTAGAGGGGTGAGCTTGCCTCTGAACTGGGTGGTGGTAATCTTGCTTCCTCCTTAAGTATTGAAAGCTTAGAATAAACTCCAGTGTCTCTAAATTCTAGGATATTAAGGAGTTTTTAAAAGAGTGGTACATACCTTTAATCCCAGTACTCAGGAGTCTGAGGCTAGCCAGGTCTACATAGAGAGTTCCAGGCCCAATTGGGGCTACAAGGAGACTGTATTAGTAACTTTTCTGCTGTGATAAAATACCATAACCATGGAAACTTACAGAAGGAAGAGTTTATTTAGCTCATGGGTCCATGGGACAGTCCATAATAGTAGGGAGAGACATGACAGAGTAGAGGGCAGGAGCAGAAAGCTGAGTATTGAC